ATTGATTTTCATTTGTCCCTTGCTGTTAAACTCTACTTTTTTTCAACTGTTAATATGCTTTTAAAACATAATTTAAAATACAACAATCATCATTTAAGTATTTTTTTACTTAAAATATGGGCATCATTTGTGACAGTCATGATATCTTAGCTCTATTCATTTTATCTTTCCCACACATAAACATGTTAAAATTAAGTTGTTGATTCAGTTCTCTAAAAAAAATATTTCCTTCCCTTTTATTAGATGGAAATCATTTTATTGCTGTGTTCGGACAAAGGAATCTGGGCATAGAGGGACATTATACATTTTCTAGAATCTTAGAACTTAAGAGGCACAAAAGTATTTTCCAAAATAAAGCTCATACCTGCTATTTTTGTGTTTATTAAGGTTGTCAGTGTATAGACATATTTTACCTAGATATAAATGCTTTCAAATGATGGTTTAGCTATTTAGTAACTAAATCTAATGACTGCTATTGCTCACTATTGAAATGAAGAGTTACCTTGACAGACTGACTCCTTTTATTAGTTATTCAGTTTCATTCATATGACTATAATTATTCCCAAGCTTACATTTCTCTAATTTTTATTTAAATTTGGTCTCACTTGCATTTAAATAACGTATGTGAAGTATTCAAATCAAATAATTTTCAGCATCAATGATCATGTTTCTTTATAGCCTGGGAAATTATTATACACACACACACACACACACACACACCCCACAGGAAAAAAAATATTCAGAGATATTCAAAAGCTTCATAAAACATTGACAGAAGAAAAGTGGTCTATCTTTTTCTTTTTCTTTTAAGACTTCAGAAAGAAATTAATCTTGAGTTTCTTTACAAAGTAAATTCAAATAGTATAAAATGTGAAGTTCCTCATATCCAGTCACTGTTTTATCATAAAAATCAATGGTTAAGTAAATACAGTTTAAGTTGACTTAAATGAAATTATTTTCTGAAAATATAAATGACAACTATTTATGACAAAATGCCTATTAAAAATGTTCTATGTATTCTTAGATGCTCAAGAGAATAGTATGGCAATAAATAAATATTTCTTTGTGAATTTGATAAGATATATTTAAATATTATTTTAAAATTGTGGTTAAATTATTTAAATATTTGAGTATAAGAACTTCAACATAAATTTAACCATAGTAAGAATGTTTCACACCCTACAATTAAACCATGTATTAAGCACTATAACTCATAGTGTGTTAAATTTTAAATAAACAGAAACTTAGAAAAAGGGAATATTAAGATATTTTTCTCTATAAGTGATTTATCTTGTGTGTACTCATCAAAAACAAATGATATTTAAATTTGATCTAGGAATATATATTTTGTAAGTTTTTTGCATTTCATGGCACTGTAACATCAGATTGCTCACGATTTTTTCCTGCAGTTTTCAAAATGAAACTTGGAAGGATTTGTTAACTGATTTCCTGTGGGTAGCCATCAATAAAAATTAACATTATTTCTCCTGATTGAAGATAACACTGTTCATTTTGAGAACTAGTGAAAAGAGATTTGGGAATTTGTAATATGAATTGATGATGATTTCTCAATGCATCTTATTAGATTCATGAAGTTAGTTTGGTTTAAATCAAGGGTAAATAATGAATTAGATTAGAATATTCAAAGCTCATCAAAAATAAATTTAAGAGTTAGTAAAATGAATATATTATTAGCATGTGAAATAATAGTCTTTCACGCCACAATTAAAGTAAACAAAAAAGCCAATGTTCAAATAGTTTATACCTGCAAGATGAAATATATTTTAATCCATAAAATATGCTATATATACCTTTTATCCTGCCCATGTATTCTATCAGATGACTCTGCAAATAGATAGATAATATTTGTGAATCAGAACATGTGATTTCTCAGGAATCCATTTTTTTCATGTTGTGTAACTGAGAAACAATACATTGAGCAGACAATTTCATCACTCTGTGTCTACTTTAGGTCTTGTCCAAATGATGTAAGTACACAAATAGACACAGCTATGTTATTTCCTTTACTGTGTATTATAAGCTAGCACTGAAAAAAAGAAAGAAAAGGATCCAGTAATGATTTTACCTTCATCCTTAGGGAGTAATGAATCCACAAGAAGGAGGTAGCTAGGATATTTAAGTTTATCCTGAAAAAAAAATGCAATCAAATGTTTAGTCTTATGATCTCAGTAAACAATCATATTTAATTTTTGTGATAGATCTCTGTTATTATTCATAATAGAAAGTAGGAACTAACTGTACTTATAAATTTCTAATAAATAATTCTAATAAATATATAATAAGTAAATTATACTAATAAAATTTCAAGCATTCATAAAGGTTTTTCTGAATAGGTACATTCAAAATAACAATAGAAAGTATGCAATAACTGCCTATTAATCTCGTCCATTTTGACTGAGTATAAGATCAGGAAAACAGTATTAATTACCTTGAAGTTTATTCTTAAATTGCATATGCTTAAATGGTTACTCAAACATAAATATATTATATTAAATAAAAGTAGAAAATATAATGGTTATTTATATCTTTAGTATTTTGAATTTGGTATTATCATGTTCTTTCCTGTTTGTTTGATTTTGTATTATTTTTACCTTTTTTATTAATCCATTGTGAATTTCACACTATGCACTTCAATTCTACTCATCTCCCTTTCTTCTCTTAAATGTCCTATACCCTTGCAACCTGCCAACAAGCAACAGAAAGAAAAATAATCTTGTTGTGGACAGTGTAATATGTCACAGTGTATGCCTCAGTATACCTTTTGGTTCACATGTTTAATATTAGGCTTCTGGATTCTGCTATACTACCAATATTGAAACCTTGCAGGGGCTCCTCTCAAATATACTGTTGTTTCCCTGTGTCATGGGGTTCCTACTGTTTTGAATCTGTAGGGTCAGCCCCTTCACATTCTCAAGCAGTTTATCAATGATGTGGATGTTGGTGTGGGCCACTCCAAATCCCTGGATTAGGGCTGGGAGTAATCTGATCTAGATTTTACCACCTACAAGGGGCAGATAAAGCTCTACTACTTTCATGCCCTTGGGGCTGATTCATGTATGTGCACCCGTATCATCAGGGCCATTTCTACCCTGCTTCCCAGGTGACCTGCAGGGCCCACTCTTTTAAGTGTTGCAACCATTGAGGGGATGCAGGACAAGGTCAGTTGTCCTACTCTCATTACCCTGGAGCCCAATCTCCCACCTGTCATGGATGGATAGGGATAAAAGATGGCATCTCTTATCCCTAGGGATAAGAGGCCAGAATCTTAGGAATAAGAGAAAGGCATCTCTCTTTTATTCTGCACCACTGCACAGTAATTAGACTCAGGGTTGGTTCATCTGTGCTTCCTACTAGTGCTGGCACACTAGCAGTTCCTATATGCATGGGCTACTTTAACATGATCCCTAGTGTAGTTGCAGGGCCTTCTTGCCCAAGTGCTGTAGCAAGTGATGGACAGGAACAGCTTACCTGCTTTTCATGACTCCCTTTGGGTCCAACTGTGCCTCCAGCAGCAGGTAAGAAGTGCAAAAGGGAAGGGAGGGGAGGGAAGGGGATGTCTCCCTTGCTGATGTCAGCACACAGCAGTGAAGAGGCAGGGTCGCCTCTCCCACAGGCATGCCCTCAGGGCTGGCTCATCTGAAACCTTCATATCCAAGGCCAGGTCTGCTATGCTGCTCAGGTAAGGTGAAGGCGCACTTTCTCAGCTGCTGTAGGTGAGGGACATGACCAGCTCTCCCTCTTTGATGACCTCAGGCCCAGCTCTCCAACTTGCTAAAAGTGGCAAAGGGTGAGAGAGAAATTCTCTCCTGAGGCCATGTCACCACACTTTAGACAATTGGTGGGAACAACTCTTCCTCTATGCTGATGGTTTCAGTGCAGCGTACTCATGCCCATACCAGAAGTGTCAGCTCCACTGTGCTTCCCAGAAAAGGTTCAGGTCCTGCTCTACCAAGTGCTACAGTTGATGAGGGGCAGGGATAGCTCTTCTGCTCTCATGAGGCAAGGAGCAGGTCTGCTGCCTGGCACAGTTGTTGAGGGGATAGGGAAATGAAGTTAACTCTTCATTTCACTGCATGGGAGAAAAGTGGCAGGGCCAGTTCTTTCATGCTCATACCCTCTTGCAACTCCCACAACCAAGGCCAGCTCTGGTGTGCTTCTGGGAAATGTGTGGAGCCCACTATCCTGAGTAGTCACTCAGGTGACTAGGAGCAGAGTTAACAAACCTGCTCTTATACATCGAGCCAGAAGCAACTGGCTTGAAGTTGCTTCTGCAAGTTTTTCTATGATGCCCGGGAGAGAGGTGGGGGATTTCTTTCCAGCCTCAAACAACATATCCCTGTGCCGTAGCCCAGACCAGGGACATTCTCTTGGCCTTAGGTGGTAACAGACCACTGGTGCTGCAGGGCTGTGGATACAGATGTGGCTCCTAGTGGCAGCTTAGGCCATGCCCCACATGGTCTCTGGTGATATCTTCAGCTATTCACATTAATCAGTCTGTTCCTCACTACCCTTGAGTCTTGTTTTGCCTATCTTCATTACGTCCACATCTTTCTGCTTCTCTTTTTTCCCGTTTCGATACTATTGATTTGCTCTTCTTATTGGTGGCCAGGTTCTCTGAATGTCTATGGATATCTCAGAAGTGGTTTCAGGAGTCCTAAGCCCCACTTCTGGATTATGGCACTGGGCAAGGGTCATCTCAGACATGGTCTCTCCCTCCCTTTAGTCCTGACTCCCTGCAAGGTCTGCATGGCATATTACTGGTGGTCATCTCAGGCTAGCTTCCTATCCTTGTCTTAGGCCTATGCTGCTAGACTGATGGTTGTACCCACCCATGGTTCCATACAGGGGTTAATTTGTCTTGGCCACACTTCCGCCAAAAATCTCTGATCCCAGGCATAGTTCATCTTGTCTTAGATCCCATCTGGGCCTGGGTGGAGCAAGACTGATGGTTGCTTCTGGCTTGATTTTTTTTTTCAGGAAATGTTAGACTGTTAATTATTCAGGTGTTTATGGGTCAGAACACTGAGCTTAGAAATAGCCTGTCCCCTTTCTGCTTCTTACTGATGAACATGTGACACAGCAGCCACACCTGCAATGCCTCTGGGTGAAGGATATTATTATATTCTTGACATGTACTGGCCTAAATAAAATAAAAATTCACAACACAAAAATATAACCATTATTAATATATTTTGGAGAGATAAAAGCAGTGCAAGGCACCCTTGATCATTTTCCTGACCACTTATTAGAAGTGTCTCTATATCGTCATTAATGGAGATTCTCCTTCAAGGTTTCCGTGTCCTTGTCAAGTAATTGCCTCAGAAGCAGATCAATGAGAATCTATAAAGGAATTAGGATCAAACTAAGTTTAAATACCTTTTTCTAAGTAGAAAGGCCCTTTGCACATCAGCATTCAGCAATTAATATACATTTATGCTTGCCACCATCCCTGATTCCTGTCTACTAGGCAAAGGATTTACATAGAAGCAAGATGCTTTACAGAAATACAACACATTCACAAAACATTTTTGATATGCTATTGGAGCATTCAAAAATTCTCCAAAGCTTTACCTTAGGATGATTAAAGTTTTTTTTTTCTGGTTAAAATGCCTAGAGAAATGTTCCACATGGTGGAGGGAATTAATTAAACCAAGAGGCATTTAATTTAGTTACTTTTATCAGTGGCAAACGTGAAAGTCGAGAATTTCCAAAGTCTTTTATAACTCCTTATCAATTATGTATTTAAAAGTACTCAATGTTAGCTGTCAATATATTCAACTCTGTATTTCATTGTAAAAATTGTTTTTTGAAGACATAAAATGGGAAGAGCGAACATAGATATTTACTATTGCTATTCTAAGTGAGTTTATGATATACCATAGGTAGTCTATAATATTCTACTGGTAAGGAAATGTAATTAAAATAAATAGTAGATGTTCTCTATTATTATTATTAGTTTTAATCACATTTTCTTACTAGTAGAATTTTATAGACTACCATAAACCACCAACCATGCATCCCTCCTGTCCACATTGTCATGTCTTCTATATGCTTTTAGTCATTTTGCCTCTGTCCTTACTATTATATAATTGCAATATCAATTTGTGTCAGCTTCAGAGCTGCTATCATTTGAATTGATAGGGGATATTTTTTAAAAATATTTAGTCATCTCTGAATACAAAGAGATTCTTACTATAATCTAAGTATATAAACATAATCATTACTACATTAACTTGTTACAAGAAGTTTTGAGTAATGAACATGTGTACAAACAATAAAGAAAAAGAATTCTTTGAAGAGTTTCGCTAGCTTATTAAGGAGATTGTGAAATTAAATTATTTGTATGATGTATCAACTCTCTTGCTTACCTCTTAAAAATTGTTTTAAATTCAAAGTCTACGACTGATTTTATTTTAATTTTATTACTTGAGAATTCCATGAATGAATAGAATGCATTTTGAGCGCGTTAACCTCTCTCATCACCTCCAACTTTTCTTGATCCCTCATTCCAGACCCTTGTCAAAACTTCATACCATTGTTTATATATCTCACATGGTCCAGTCAAGGATGTGTGCAGGTATGTGTCAGTAGCAAATCACCTAAAGCATAGGGGAAATACAAGAATCCACTTTTCTGAAGAAAATTGCCTTAAGAAAAATAAAATAAACTTTTAACCTATGGCAGAAATTTTCATCTCAGTAAAAAGATAGTGAATATATTAATATTACTTTTGTATTAAAATTAGTGAATTCCACTTATATTAAAATTTCCCTGTGGAAACACTAAAAAATTCACAACACTATCATTTTGCAGATGTTTTATTATTTACCAGATTTGAGTTATTCCTTTAAGGTTTAGAATGATTAGTCAATGTATATCTTATATTTTTAAATATTCTTTGAATCCTAAGAGGCTGCACTTTAGAGAGTAAAAATAATCTTCAAAGATTTTCTGGGGCATTCTATTTTATTATCTTGAATCTGAAATTTAGTTTCTAGGCAGATCTCTATGTTTAATCAATATCCCATTTCCATTGTATTTTTAAAGAATCTGTGAAATTCATACCTACTCAGTTGATCCCAAAATCATTAACTTGACTCAGAAACCATGGAAACCACTTGAGCTGCTGTAATCCTGTCTTCTTGATCTGATTTACAAAACTCTGTTAATCATAAAGTTTGAAACCACAGTAGTGTGACCAGTAATTCTTTCATATCTCTGTGCTATGTAAGAACTTAGTGGTACAATATTTGTTTAAAAGAAAATCATCTTACATAATATTTATGTAGATATTGTAGTATAATTTTTTACATGTGAAAGTTAAGTTATTGTTTACACATTGTACTTCAGGATATACTTCCTCCATATTAACAGAATATTTACAGCGATTTAGAGTTTGTCACTAGAGTATCTTCTGATTCTGTCCATTTTAACAAGTTAGGAAGACTAAATGAGAAAATCTCCTGAGAGTGGCATATCTGTTCACAGAATGTAAACGTCTGTTCATGTCCTACTTTACACTCACAAGGGTAAAGAACTATTTGGCAGCTTGTTGAAGTTGGGATGAATATCATCTAGCTTTCCATAGTAAGTAAAATAATCTTAACTAGATTTACTTAACATTTTTGCTATGTATATCTGAGCCCATAATAATATATATTGTGTATACACATTTGTACCTGAGCTCAATCCACTCAATACATCTGTCCAACTCTAACCTTAATGGTCTAGTATTTCCACCCATGTGTTTCTTCTCAGTGGAATCATTTATTCCATTTATTTATATGTTAAATACCACCATATATTAATTATATATAATTAGTGTGCTTCATTGCAATATTTTACATGCATATATAATACACTTTGATCTTATTCACCCCACTTACTGAATTTTCTTATGGTTGTTTAATATTATTCTCACTGATGCCTCAACAAATGTTTAATGAACTCCAGAGCAGTAATTGATGACAGACAAGAGTAGCACTATCATAGAACTCCAACATAGCTAATCAACAATTAATTGAGGATACTTAGAGAAGTATTATTGAGAATGTAGGTATATGTGCATGAACAATCCATACTAAACTTTTAAACAAATCGTGAATCTTAGCTTCCTAAAGCAATAGCATAACTTCCAGAGCTCAGAGTAAAGAGTTCTTCTAAGCAAGGTGGATGATTTCAGCCTCTTCCAGAGTTTAACTGGGTTGAGTCCCTTCAGCAATCCTTCAGCATAAATGGTATTAAGGAAGGAGATTCCTTCTATATCTGGTCAATTTCAAGAAAAGTAAGGGACAAGCCGGGCAGTGGTGACAGATGCCTTTAATCCCAGCAGTTGGGAGGCAGAAGCAGGAAGATTTCTGAGTTTGAGGCCAGCCTGGACTAAAGAGTGAGTTTAAGGACAGCCAGGGCTATACAGAGAAACTCTGTCTCGAAATACAAAACAAAGAAACAAACAAGAAAAGAAAAGTTAAGGACACAATACATTTGCCACAAGCATTATAAAATATCTTGGAATAACTCTAAAGATACAAGTCAAAAGATTTGTATTAAAATTTTCAAGTCTGAGGATTACAAGATCTTCCATGTCAGGTTAAAATATTAAAATATTCATCTTACCAAAACCAATCTGATTTGATGTAAACTCCATCAAAATTCCAACAGAATTCTTCACATATCTTGAAAGGACAATTCTTAAATTCACATGGATAAGCAAGAAACCTAAGTTAGCTAAAACAATCCAGAACAATAAAAGAAATGTGGGAGGTTCCTCTATTTCTTATCTCGATTTTTAACAAAAGACTACAATAATAAAACCAACATTTTATTAGTATAAAAATAGACACATTGATAAGTTTAATCAATTGAAGACTCAGACCTAAACTAACACATATATGGGTACCTTACTTTTAGTAAAGAAACCAAAAGTACGTATTGGGGGAAAAAGCATCATCAACAAATTGTGCTGGTCACATCAGATGTAGAAGAATACAAATAGATCCTTAGTTATCACTCTGCAAAATTCAAAATATCCCAAAAGATTCAATAGAAAACCTTTAATACTCAACTTTATAGAAAGTGGGGAACAGCCTTGGAAGCTCTGGAACATGAGAAGTCTTCCTGAACTGAACATAATTAACACAGGCACTAAGCTCAACAAATAAGAACTCAAAAAATTGCAACAGTTTTATATGACAAAGGATACTGTCAATAAGATGAAGCATCAGCCTACAGAATGAGAAAATAAATATTTTTACCAATTCCATATCCAAGTGGGAGGCTAATATCCAAAATACATAAAGAACTCAAGAAACTTGATATCAAAAAATGAAATAACCAAATTAAAAATTGATTATACATCTATACAGAGAATTCTAAATAGAAAAAACTCTATTCATAAACATTTGAAAATGAGTTCAACATCCTTATTCTTCAGGGAAATTAAAATTAAAACTACAATGAGATTCCACCTGAAGCTTATAATTATGGCTAAGATTAATAATACAATTGAATGGTCATTTTAACAAAGAATGGAATAAAAGAAGCACTCCTTTACTTCTGGTGATATTAGACATAAAAACAGGAAATCAGTATTGTAGTTCTTTAGAAAAAGAAGAATTGATCTACCTTAGGATCAAGGAATCTCACTCTAGGTTGTAAACACAAGGGATACTTCCTCTTACCACAGGGATACTTGCTTGACCTTGTTCATTGCTGCTCTATTTATAATGGGCAGAAAATGTAAATTTCCTCAAAAAGCAAATGGATAAAGTCAATGTGGTTCATTTACATAATAGAGTATTACTCTGTAGTTAAAAATGACATCATGATATTTGAAGGCAAATGGATGGAAATAGAAAACAAATCATCCTGACTGACATAATCTAGACCCAGAAAAATAAATGTGATATGTACTTGATTATATCTGGATATATCCATTAAATAAATTATAATCATGCTACAATCAGTAGACCCAAAGGGTTTATATGTGGAGGTAGGAATTGCAGGTATCCTGGATCTAAATGGGAGATAGAAATAGAATAGATTATGGGTGGAGTAAATCCTAGGGTTTGGACAGCAAAGGGATGATCAGGTGGGAAAGGGAAGAGGAGGT